AAAATAGTATGGTAATCTAGCATAACCTGCCCCCCACTACATTTTTCATCCTAGTATTTATTTTTCTTCTAGTAATACAATTGTGCTATTCCTACTTTGAAATTTGCCTGCCTGGGTAGGCAGTGTATACCTTAAACAATACTATCCACTAGTCAAGAAGACAGTAGGAGATAAAATCCAGCCCACAGTTCAATTTATAAGCCATGTGTCTTAGAGCGAGCTCTCTCTGGATAAAATAGTGAACTTCATTTACTAATGGCATAAATGCATTGTCTGGTGATCAAATGTTCGTACAAAGGCTGCACCTGTCCAGAAAATGCTCCTTTTTCAAACATGTACATACACACTAATGACTTAATAACAGCTTGTTGTGTTCTCCTGGTTGATAGTTCTATAGAAGCAAACACCATTACTGGTTTTATTGTGCTATGATCTCCAGCCAACAAATGTGTTCCTTGCACATGAACGGATGCTCAATAATATTTGTTTATTCAATAAAAGATGAAATCATCCTCAAACACAAAATAATAGATAGTTTCTTGCTCTGTTTATTCTGTTTGCTAGTTTGCTAACAGAACACATTTCAGTTTCTAAGATACAGGCTGTTCCTGTGAGTCACAAACAAGGACAAGGAGTTTCACTCTACTAATTGCCCAAATTCCTAACGAGGCCCCTGAGATAGGGTATCACACTAGTTTTTTGGTGCCTCCTGTGCCCAAGAATAATTCTCAAGGGAAGTCTTCAGAGTATCAGAGTTAAAAGTCCAGTTTCTCTTTCTGGGCAAACCTAACACAGCATTCTAAGATTTACAGGTCCTAGAGTTTTCTGTTCTGCAAAGAGACTTTCTGAGGACAACAGAGTCAAAGTTTAACCTGGAAATTGTCACTACATTATGAAATTCCTTTTGGCACTCTGGAAATGCTTACCTGCTTGCCTTAGGATTTTTAACTTCTTCCACTCTTGCTTCCTGGAGCATCCAGTCCCAGGTCTTTCCTTTTCCAAGTGCAGGTACCCTGGTTCCTAAGGACTTTTCTATAATTTCCTTTTCCAAGTTTTCAAGAAATAAGTGTACTTGAAACAAAAATTTAAATAAAAAGCAGAAGAGGATTGGTTTTTAAGCTTTCTGGTTTTCACCTACCTAGTCCTCTCTCTTTCTGGTGAGTTCCTTGATACTGAAGTTTCAGACTTTCTCAGGAAGTTTCACAATGGCTGGTTGACATCTAAAGTGAAATATAGTATTTTTGGCAGGTTTCATTTTAAATAATGGAAGAATCTGCTGAGAGTCAAGGCAAAGACTGTAAATAAGACCACTTTTATAATGCCAGTGTTGTTGTCTGCTACTAAGGGTTCTCAAGTCTTTTGAGGCAGCAATGCTGAGTTAGGCATTTCTCCTATAGCCAATGTCTCATTCTCTTTTAACCCAAACACCTTGCTTGCATATTCATCCTGTAGGATTTTGCTTCAGAGGAAGTACTTGAGGTGTCTATTCAGGTATGCCTGTGCTTCAGACCTGTCCTGTCAATTAGTAGATATGTGAGTCTGGTAAGTAGATTATTCCACTGGGCTTCAACTTTTTCATCAACAAAATAAGATTGATTTATGTATTTTCAGAGTAATTTTGAAGTTGTAAATCAAATAGCCTGTCTACACAAGATAGCTTATTTTAAATAAATGCTAGTTTCTGTAGTTTGTTTCTAACTATTTTTCAGCCATTTCAAGTTGAAGGGCCAAATTTGTACTTCCAACAATTTTTGCCATCCATATGGTATTTTAATTTCATTTTATTTATGATTAATTCTGGGTAAGGGGAATTATTTTGTATCTTTGTGGAACATAATCCGGGCATTTAGCTGTTCCAGTTAAAAAAATCTCTCTATCCCTCTCTCTCTCTCTCCCCCCCACCCCCAGTGTGTGTGTGTGTGTGTGTGTGTGTGTGTGTGTGTGTGTGTGTGTGTAGGGAAATGTAATATATTGCCTCAATGATTCTATATACACTTGGAGCAGAGGACAAGGAGAAGAAAAAGGAACACTATTTATTCTTCCCTGAGTCTTTCTCATTCAGATATTAATAGTTTTTTTTTTTTAACAAGGATATGAACCTTACCAAGTCCTTGAATGTTACTCTTAACAGACAACATCTAAACTAAGACCTAACAACATAAGCAGATTCTTCTGACTTACAGTGCTCTCCTAAAGAGAGAGCATGCCCTTCCTGGTAGCTGCTTTCCATCTGTCAGTCCCTCAGCTGAGACAGATTTTTTTCCCCCAGAACTGAAATATTTCAGTAGCAGATGGTTTGGAACTAAGGGTCATGATATCAAGGCTTCAGAGGTAGCTCTGTCATATCTGTGATTCTGGAGAACCATTTTGTACATTTTGAAAATGGTTTCTCACATGTCTATCATGCAGGTTCTTCTAAAGTAAAAAGGACGCTCTTGAAGGCAAAAAACATACATGTTTCTCCTATCATTTTTAGAAATAGAGCTGTTTACCTAAATGTGGACTGGGATGTGAAAACCAAACTAAGATACCATTTGTGTTTGCCTTCTGAAGGAAGAGTGAAAGGCAACGTTTTCATCATCTGGCTTTCTCTATACTATCCCTTTGTGCCCATTCTCTCAGGCAGCCTTCCAGTTTCTCCACTTATGAGTGCTGTAGACATTACTGCTTCCTCCCTATCTATATATCCTGCAGTGTCTCGTGCTCGTATACCTGCAATGTCCCTAAAGGTAGGAATCCTATGCTCTACTTCTCATAACCCTGAACTTCTGAAATCTAGATTTTTACTTAATTACTGTGTCCTGGTTCTGGCTACCTGAGGCAGAGCTTCTGTAGACATCCAACCAAAGGATGAGTCTCTTCCTGCAGACTGGAAGTACTCAGAAACATTCCATCATTCACTGGCTCATTTAACAAGTATTTTTCAACAACCTTAAGCAAGTCTAATAATGGGATTGGTTCTGTAGATCTGGAACTAAATGAGTATTACCCCTATAATCAAAGAGCGCATTTAAAAGTCAATATAAATAATTGTAATTACATGTTACTAGAGTGATCAAACAATATATAAAATATAAAGAATATGATACGAGATATATACATATATATGGAAAAGAGCAGGGAGAATAGCATTAAAGAGAAAATTTTAAATCCCCATCTATTATCAAATATGGATTCGTTATCCTTCAGCACTCATTTTTCTTCCCCTGCTATGATTGTTTTTCCCTGTGTTAGCACCACACCATCTTAATTATTCTGTTATTCTGATAAATACTGATGTGTGAAAGATAAATTTTCTCCTTTTATTTGGCTACTCCTGCAAGTTGATTTTTGTATAGAAATACTAGTATTAACTGTTAATCCAACCAACACATACTTAAAACAATCAACTTGAAATTTGAGTGACTTAGATTGACTCTGTAGGTCTGTCTAGGACTACATGAAACTGACAGCATTGTCTTGAATTCATGCATATAACCTCTTATTTTAAATTTCATTAGGATGCTTCATTAAGGTTGTGACAATTTCTTCACAGAAGTCTTTATTCATGAGTACTTGATATTGTTTGAAATGATGATAAATGATACATTTTCTCGATTTAATTTGGTATGGGTTTGTTGAATACAGAGATTCAGGGAAGTTTTACGTAATAACTTTTGTGCCAAAAGACATGCTAAGCTCTCTTAATTCTCATCACTTGTCAGTACCATTTTTTGAATTTTCTATGAATGTAATCTTTAAAAAATGTTTGGTTTTATTTCTTCCTTCTCAATCTTCATTTTTCTTTATTTACTGGGCTGGCTGGGATATTCAATGTAAGTTGAAGAGAAGTAGATAAAGCTATCATGTTTATCTTGTTCTTAATCATGAAGAAAACCATTTAATACCTTGCACTGAGTGTAAATGTTGACTATAGGATTGCTGTCTGTGTTTAACAAATTGGAGAAAACGTTTTATTCTCAGCTTTCTACAGGTTCTTCGAAAGTGCAAATATTGAGAAAACTTTAAAGCTCCTGTTAGTAACAAATCAAATAATCACATGGCTCTCCCCCTTTAAACACTGTTTTGATAAAACACATAATTGGAATTTTAATTTTAAACAAATTTTCCATTCTGAAACAAACTTTTGACATCTAACCATTTTATATACTGGTCTTCTTAATTAGTCAAGTTAGTGAACATCACAGGCAAGAATTTGGCATCTAGATTTCCAAGGAACTTTGGCCTAAAGGTATTTTCTATGACAATATAGCACTGAAACTTTAAAAATATTGATGTTTTCAATTAAGTTTCTTATGGGTTTTACTCTCCTTGACATTATTTCTCTTATTTTTGAGATTATAATATAATTAAATCATTTCTTTCTTCCCCTTCTTGCCTCCAAATCTTCTCATTTACCTGCCTTTGTTGTCTTTCAAATCCATGGCTTTTTTCCTCATTAATTGCTATTAGATACCAAATTCTATCTTTATTTCTAGTCCAAGGATACAGTCTATCATTTACGAAGGATCTGAATTCATGTTTTTGTTCTGCATTTTAGTGTTTGCTCCTATTTGTAGAAGTGCTGTTGTTTACGAAGGCATGTGTACACATCTATGCGAGTGTGGAAGCCAGATGTCAACATCAGCTGTTTAGATGTCACCAACTCTGATGTATATTTTTAATTTTATAAGACAGAGTCTCTCATTGGCTTGGAACTCATTGAACCTAAGCTGATTATCCTTTATGGTCCAGGATCTGCCCGTCACAGTGCTGGAATCACAACCACATACCACTACCTGGCTCTTACTTATATAGTCTTAAAATATAAGTTTTAGTGATTGGATTTAGAGGGCAGTGCTTGGGAGATAAAAACTTTATGGACTAAACGTCATTATAGCTCCATGTAGGAAGATTAAGCTGAGACTCTGCTCTACTCAATTTTTCTCTACAGTGTACTTAGGGTCAGGGTAATCTCTTTACTAAGATCTTCTCTTAAGACTTCAGATGTAAGGTCGCCAATGAAGAGAACCAACTTCACAGAGGTAAGAGTGTTTGTTTTCCAAGGTTTCTCCAATTTCCAAGAACATCAGCTCACACTCTTCATTGTCTTCTTTGTCCTATACATCCTGACTCTGACTGGCAATTTCATCATTGTGACCATTATCCGCATTGACCACCGCCTTCACACACCCATGTATTTCTTCTTAAGTGTTCTCTCTACTTCAGAGACTTTCTATTCTCTGGTCATCATCCCACGTATGCTTGGTAGCCTTGTGGGTCTGAGCCAATCCATCTCTCTGGAGTGCTGTGGGATTCAGCTATATTTTTTCCTTGGATTTGCAATCACAAATTGCCTCCTGCTAGCAGTCATGGGTTATGATCGCTATGTGGCCATTTGCAACCCTCTTCGCTATAACATCGTCATGAATTGGAGGGTGTGTGTCATTCTGGCATCTTCAGTCTGTGTCACAGGGTTCTTGCTTGCTCTACTTCAGGCTGTGTCCATATTCAGGCTGCCATTTTGCAAGACACTGATTGAACATTTCTTCTGTGAAGTCCGACAAATTTTAGCTGTGGCCTGTACAGTGCCAGTCTTCAATACCATCTTGACATTACTTCTCACCTTCATGGTCATCACAGCCCCTGCCACTTTTCTATTTGTCTCCTATGTCCTTATTATTTCCACCATTCTCAAGATTGCCTCAGCTGAAGGCCGGAAAAAAACTTTTGCCACATGTGCCTCCCACCTCACTGTGGTCATCATCCACTATGGCTGTACCTCTATTGCCTACTTCAAGCCCATGTCAGAGAACACTGGAGACCAGAATCAGTTTATCTCAGTGAGTTATACTCTAATAACACCTCTACTAAACCCTGTTGTATATACTTTGAGAAACAAAGAAGTTCAGGATGCTCTGAAAAAAGTGTTGGGTAGAAAATTCCTATCATAGTTGTTAATTTCTCTCCAAATAATTTCATCTTTTTCACATGGAACCTGATAGGTAAAGGTATAAAACCAGGGTTTCATGTGTTAACAAGACCCATACATTACAGTCAGTGCCAGGGCAAAAGTGAATCTGCTAGCCAGCCTCTAATACGTGGATTTCATTTCCTCAACCTCTTTGTTAACATAATAAAACCACAGGTCACTTCTAAGGCCTGCACACAGACAACCATTGGTTCTACTCCAGAATATAATTACAAAGTCAAAGTATGATCTTATGTTCCTTTCAAGCTTAAATTTAAAGGGACCAATCTATTTTTTCCTGAATTATAACCACACATTAAACATTACTCAATGAAATATTCTCTGAATATAAATTAGATGCTTGAACAAGTAATTAGTGTAAAGAAATTTAGAGATGCCTTGTGTTTTAATAAGATAAGCAATGTAAAACTAAAGAGATCTTTTTAAAAATGAGTTTGGAATGAGCTGTAACTTTCTAGACCAAGTATCTTCAAGCAGCCACACATAGAACTCTAAAAGAACTTCACGTTTCCTATCTGCCACAAGTAGAATTCCAAAGAAAAAGATCTAAGGAAAGGCTGTGAAGAGGAAAGGGGATATTAAACAGAGAAACTTCCTGATCAACATAGGATAGCCAAGGGAGTCTGGTCATATCATTTGAATGCAATGCCCTTTGGTCTAATTCTTTGCTTTTTCCTGAAGATAAGCCAGATGGAGGAGAAGTGTTTCTCAGGTTAATAATAAAAGCATCCTTCATCAAAAACTATGTTTTTAAGTCTCAGAAAGTAAGAGGGTGTTGTTGAGGAAGATGATTACTGGAGAAGTCTGAAAGTTGATGAAGAAGAAGAGAAGGTCAGGAAGAAATCTTTATGGAAACTTCCTGATTATTGAGTTGAAGTGAAAGATGACATGGTGAGGAGCAGAAAGAGAAGAGTGGATTTAGCAATAGTTGTTCTGGATGAGCCTTCTTCTTCCCCTTGTAAGCCAAGTCACCAAGGCAGGAAAAGGGAATTTAGTGGAAAATTAAGCCAATACAACACCTTTCTGAAATAAATTAGATGATCCCATTGTCACTGAAAAACTAAGAAATGTAAATAGTAAGAAATTCTCACATGCAAACTTCCATAAAATGTAATTAACTGAGAAATGAAGTAATAACAGGCTATTTATTCTTCCTTACCTCAAAAAAATGAACAATGGAATAAATTTTAGATTCAATTTGAGAAAAAGATAAGTAACGGAAAAAACCTTAGTAATTAGCAAGTGTAATTATTGAGCAAATCAAAGTATTTTACTGAAAATTAATTTCAATATCCACAAAGGACACATGAGTGCACATTCTCTTTTTAGTGTAAGACGTCATCAAAATGCAGAAATATCAAATAAAATATGCACAGCAATTGTGTATTTGATGTGCAACATATTCAGGTAAGTAAATCTAAGATAGTTCTATCCTTCAATCTGTTTGTCATTCACAGCTCCTAATACTATTGATTGAGTAAAAATTACCTACATATATTTCATGTAAAGCTACTCAATTAATTATGAATAATCCAGATTATGAGAAGACCAATAAAATTTGAGGTTTTCTTATTTTCTTTACTTTTACTTTCCCCCAGTGTATCCTTGTAGTGAATCCAGTTATAATCAGTTTCTTTCCCTGGAGGGAATCCCATAATTATTTCTTGCTCTACTTTTTAGATTCCAGGAATAGACAAGACCCCACAGGCAACCTAGTGTCACACATGAGGAACACTTTGATGTTTCCATGTTCTTTCATCAGTGTGATTCCAGCACTTCTTTTTGTGCTTGTGACCAGCAAGAAGCCATTCTTGGTTGGCCATCCTTCCATGAATCTCTTATTGATAATTTTAGACTGCCCAGGTGACATAGTGAACCAGAGTCAACTTGGCATCCACAAACCATCCACCTAACTCCTATCTTGCCTACTCCTTCTCTGTTAGAACCCAAGCCTTTCTAAGAATCTTCCCTGGAAAGTGAGGAACATTAATACCCTCCTTCTTTCAATGATTCTTTTCTTTTCTTTAAGAGGGAACCAAAGTTTAGCTGGGGACTCCATAGGATGCATGTCTTTATTTTATTTAAACAGAAAACACTGAATTCTTCTCAGCTCCATGGTTTACACTTTATGTTTCACACATAGAATATTTTAGTACTCAAACTTTAGTTTTTCAAAAATCTTTCTCTTTAAACTTTGAGAGGCATTCCTCTCCAGAAAAGTTTGCTAAACTTAAAATCTCTTTCAGTTTTCAATATAAATATTTCAGTTGTGAGTGCTTAAAGGTCTATTTGAAATGCAGGGCTTCTCCCCTGTAGTCTTCTGATCTTTCCCCAGGCAAATAATGTTCCCTAGAACATGTAGAATAAATAATAACAACAATTGTAAAACAAGGAGAAGCATTATATTGCTACCCACAAGACTTCTATCCAGAGTAGAATTCTTTGAAAATTCAGGTATCATTTACTTGTCTTATGGAACCCTTAAGAAAAAGAGATCCTGTCGTAAGCTCCCTGCCCCAGTATAGGAAATCCCATTTAAAAATGAGGGCTCTCCAATAGAGCACAAGTCTGCATTAGAAGGGAGCTTGAATTTTCCTTGCTGGAGGTTAACCCTGTCTGTTAGCAACATCTCCATCTGACATATAGGGCAACTTTTCTCCTCTTCATGGTGGGAGAGACAGGCTTTCCTGTTTCTACACAGTTCTAGTTCCTAAGAGTGACCAATACATCCATTGGCTTGGCAAGAGAATCATTCTCTTTCTGAAAAAAAAAAGAAGTAATCAAAAGACTGTTAAAACCCAGGGCATCTAATCAGTGGTTCCCAAAAAGCAAAAGATACAATGTGAGGAAGGGAACTATAGGGACCAAGGTGATGGGATGGAAGGGAGAATGGAGAAGTTGGGAATTATAGTGAAGACAATATACTCTTTATATATTTGAGGTTCTCAGGTAACACATTCAATAAAAGCTGTCAAAAAAGCATCCTCTATCCATGCTTTTATTCCAGAAACAGTCCTCACACTAGGTACAGACAATTATACAAGTTCCTATATGAACATAAGGGCTTTCTGACATTTGAAAGGATGGTTAACTTTTCAGAATTGTTGGTTAGACTTGCACATTAAGAAAGGCCTCATTTTCTTGAAAAAGAGACTTAGTCTAGAAATACCTAATATAAGATAGAAATGATGCTCACCTTCCCCTTACTTCATTGCTCTTCTCTGAAGTGGCACAGTAAACCCACTGTGGGCAATTTCATTCCTTGCATCTTATGGTCTTAACATAATTTGAATAATTGTCTAGTATGCCAGAAGCCATCAAGGAAAAGCTAAAAACTAGCAGATGATTTTCCTGAGATGGTTCCGCCATAGACTGTCAACGTTAATGTTGGATTTCCTTCTCTAGGCAAAGTCAAGAAGAATTTCATTTTATGAAAGATTTCTGCTATTAATATGCTTTTCCTGTTATTATTAAATATATATAATGGTCACTAGGTATTTTTGATCAGATCTCTGCAGAAAACAAAAATGCAGTGTCTTATAATGTCTCTATATAGACAAATAGATATTTTCTTAATTCTTAATGATTATCCTATAAGAATTACTAAAATTATATTAGTAAATATTAAGATAGTTTTTAATAGGACTGCTATTAAGTCCTTTCTGATGTCAAAACTGCTTTGAGAACTCTGTCAGTCTTCAAGTTTCATAAGTTAAATGCTTTCGAGTTAGCAAGAAGGCATCTACAACTTAGAGCACATTACAAGAGATTGTAAAACAATTAACCAAAGGTCATAAAAAAGGAACTTAGGATTTACTATAGGTACAAAGACAGAAGATAAAATATTGACTAGGTTTATTTATACAAAACTGCAATGATAACTTAGTTATGGTCTTTAACCCTCCATAAACCCATAGAGCTAGTAACAGTTAAAGAATGTTTAGCCAGATAATTATTCCTAATGGATATGAATATAAACTTTCTCTGTTGCAAACTTCTTATTCAATTTATGATTTGAATTTATGTGTAAACTTGTGCTGAACTTTTTACCATGTGATCACATATTCTGAAAGATATATAAGTGCTGAGAACAAAGAGAGGAAACAGAACTGAACTCAAGAAAAACTTTGAACTATGGGCACAGCATTGGTAGAAAAGGCATTAAGAGTAAGGGTGCGATCTAACGTAAAGAAGCTCTTCCATCAGAGCAGGAGGAAAGAACACAATAAGGAAAAGAGAGCAGAAAACAAGAGAGACCTTTCTTAGAGAACTTTTTGGAGAGCTTCTCAGAGAAAACTTTTAGGGGGAGAACTTTTGTAAAATCATTTTGGAGAACTGAAAAACTTAGAAATAAAGGCTAAAATCCTTTTTCAATGTGTCCCTTTTTCTTCCTGTGACTTCAACTAGCAGGCTTTACTTAATCCCTGGCTGTTTAAGGTGCTAAATACCAGAGACTGCAGTTTCTGGCCTCAAAGGAACTTTGGCAGATCAGCTACAGTAACAAAGTAACTTAGACTTAAGATAGGCAAATGTTTTATTATTAACCAGCAACCCTAAACATCTTACAAGACCAAGTCTTGCCCTTGCCAATTCTCTTCCCCCTCTGCTGCCTGAAGAAGAACTCCAGCACTAGTACTACTTTACTCTTTATTTTTAGATATGTCCTAATTACAGTTTTTTTATCTCCCTCTACTCCTTCTAGTTCCTCCCTACCTTCCCTTCAATCTCTATCTACTCCCTTTCTGTCTGTCATTAGAAAAGAACAGTCTTATTTGTTATTTTGAAGTCTAACTTCTTGAGTTCTTTATATATTTAGGATTTTGGCCCTCTATCTGATATAGGGTTAGTAAGGATCTTTCCCCAATCTGTAGGTTGCTGTTTTGTCCTACTGAGAGTGCCCTTTGCCTTACAGAAGCTTTTCAGTTTTAATAGGTGATGTTCCATGGGTATGTTGAGAGGTAT